ATACAACCACAGAAGACATTTAGATAATGTATGCTGATATAACATTATACAAATATAATAAACTTACATAAGAAAACATTTAGACCAATAAAATAAAAAACTAAGAAAAATGAAGTTTTAGAAAAGTATAAATTACCACAATAATTCAAGGAAAAAAACTAAATAATCCCATTACCATTAAATATTAAAAACTGAAAAACAAACAACCCTAGACCCAGATGACTTTATTAGTAAGTTTAACCAAACGTTCAAAACAACGAATATTTCAAAAACAAAATACAGATGTAAAAAGCATTAGAAAACCGAATCTAGCAATTCATCAAAAAATTATGACTATATTGCATTTATTCTAAGAATGCAAAATTGGGTGAACATCAGGAAATTATTCAACTTTGTCAATTAAAATAATGGGATCAACTTAACAGATGCTGATAAAATTCATTCACTATTCATAATTAAAAGCATACATACCAAAGCAGAAACAGAAAGGAATACCCTCAACCAAGTAAATGGTATTTTCCAAAATCCTACAACAAATATTTCATTCCTGCCACTCTATCATCTTTCTGTTCCTCAGAAACAAACTTCTGTACCTCAGTTATCAAGGAGATGAAAATGAGGGTTTTTTCCTTATTTATTGCTTTACACAAACTACTTCCTCTTCCCAGAATACTCTACTTCCAGTTCTTATGCTTGGCTACTTTTTATCATTGAGTTCTCAATTCAAAAATATTCTTAACAGGCCTTCCTGAACATTCAATATGAATTTTAAAAAGCACTCTTCCTCCCCAAACCTTATCAAGGCCAATGATGAGCTAAACCTAATTAAGTTATTTGTTCTCATCAGATACAGATTGCTCCTTCCTCCTGAAACCATTCAAAGCATTATTTTCCAGTTATTATATTCTTTTGACTCACTAACGAATTCTTCAGTTTCCTTTCCTAGTTTTTCCTATGTTCAATCTCTAACAGGACTTAGCTCTTATACTTTCCTTCATCAGTGTCTTCTTCCTTGGTGATTTCATCCATCATACTAACAACTTTCTGAATATATTATCTTCAGCCTAGACTTTTCCCCTAATAACTGGTTTATGTATCTAACTGCTCATTCAACATTTCCATCTGAACGTCTACTAGGCAACTCAAACATTACTCACTGTTTTATTAACTAGGAAAAGCACTTGTTTTACATCTTAACATTTCTAAGATTGGGATGCACATTTCAACTATCATAATTAAACTGCCATCACTTAATTGGAAGCTGCATTTTATAAGTGGTGGCATCTTAATTCAACGATATATGATATATTCGAAAATGAACTTCTGATCTTACCCCAAAACCTCCTGTAGCAGATTTCTTTACCTAACTGAAGCTCTACTCTTAAGGATGCCACATACCTTGCAGTCCTAGATGCCTCTTTCTTCCACGCCCTATATCCAATTTGTGAGCAAAACCTAAGCTATCTTCATCTCTCTTAGAGTTACCATATTAGTCATTTAACTGATATTCTTGCTTTTGCCTCTCTTCTGCTGCAGTCTATTTTTCACACAAAAACTATTTAGGTCTGGTTAAAGTTTAAATTAGATCATGCCATTCCTTTGTTCAAATGCTAGCGGCTTCACATCCTATTCAAAATAAATGTAAAGTCTTTACTTCAGCCTACAAGGCCCCAGGAGCTGGCTCCCTGATATTTTCAGACCTTATCTTTTACTATTCTCCTGTTTACAGTGATCCAGTCACACTGGGTACCACCTGCAGAGTTTTAGCACTAGCAGATTCCTCTACCTGAAAAGCTAAAATGTGGTTTCTCCAAATGTCCCCAGGCTCATCCTCTTATTTCCTTCAAGTCTTGGGTTAAATACCATTTTCTCAGTGAGATCTTTCCTGATCATCCTAGTTAATACTATAAACTGTACTCCGGTACTCTCTATCCTCTTTTCCTCCTTTATTTTATCACATAGTACTTAACACCATCTAACACAATGTGTATTTTATCTATTTATTTATCTGCCCCTCCATGTCCCTAATCATAAATTCCTTAAGGGCAAAATGATGTATCTCCCAGCCCTCTATAGGTACTCCATAAATATTTGAAAAATGATTGCATAAGTGCATGCCAAAGATTATTCTATCCACCATTTCACTCAATGAGTACGTGGCCAATTAATGTATTTCGTCAGTAACAATAACAATTTCAACAACTATTATTGAATCATTTCATGTTTGGTACTCTCAAAGCAACTCTGGTTTATGGTTACTAGTTAGATTATTAGAGATAGTAGCTACTGCACACCAAGAAGTTTCTCTCTTTAGGTAACTAGGAAAACTAGACCTTGGTTAATTCACAGTAGAAGGTCAGGAGGGCTTAAGACCTGCAACCATACATAATCAACTTCTGAATCTTAAATATTAATACTCTATTTTATAAATATGACTGACTTAGTAGATATGTTTTAGTTTCAATATCTAAGAAACCACTGTGATCAATCAATGGCATCAAGGCTAACCCAGGAATATCTGGCAATTTTTTAAAATTGAGATGTAATTCACATATCGCATAATCCACCTCTTAGAAGTGTACAATTCAGCTTTCTTCTTTTATTGTGGTAAAATACACATACAAAATTTAGCATTTTAACTACTTTTAGGTATACAGTTAAAAGAATATGTATCAATAATGGTTTGTAATATATCTACAAGGTTGTGCAATTATCACCACTGTAATTCTGTAATTCCAGAAAATTTTCATCACCCCAAAAAGGAGCCCACCTGTTAAGCAGTCATTTCCCATTTCTCTCCTCCCCTCATCCCCCAGCAACCACTGATTTGTCTCTATGAATTTGCCTATTCTGAACAATTCATATAATTGAAATCATACAATATGCAGTCTTTTGTGTTTGGTTTCTTTCACTAAGCATAATGTTTTCAAGGTTCACTCATTATCTATCAGTACTTTATTCCTTTTAATGACTAATATGTCACTGTATGGCTATATCACATTTTGTTTAGCCATTTATCATATGAAAGACTTTTGAGTTGTTTATAATTTTTCACTATTAAAATTAGGATGAAGCTAATTTTGAGCAAATGAGTAGACATTCTCTAGAACAGTAACCAGAACAAAGAATATTCTTCTTTAAAACCCTATTTTGGCAGATAGATACTGCCCAATAGGATATCCTGCTTACACTCCCACAAACAGTGCAAGACAGGATCAATTTCCTTATACCTTCATGTTGATGAATTTTATTTAAAAAATTTTCAGAGCAGAAAGGTAAAAAAACCCTCATTTTCATCTCCTTAATAACTGAGGTATAGCCTCTTTTTATATTTATCAGCCATTTATTTTTACTTTGTGCTAAATTTCTTTGCTTATGTTCTATCAAGTTGTTTATAATTTTTACTAATTTGTATGAGACATTGGTATTCTTAAATTTTAAGATGTGTACATGTTATCCGTGCTGAAAATGTTTTCTCCCATCTGTCACTCATTTTAAACTATTTTTAGTCCATTATTTTTAGCTTGATTTCTATGAAACCTAAATTTCCTATCTTCCTTTTTATGGTTATTGAGTATCCTGTTCTGCTTAGAAAGGCTTTTTCCTTTACTAAGATCTAAAAATAGTCTACATTTTTTTCTATTATTTTTTGTTTTATATATATATATACATATATCTTTTCACTCAACCTTTAACACATCCACATTTATGCATAGTGTTTGCTAAAGCTCTAAAATTTTGTTAAAAAATTAATAACCAATTATTTCAACTTAAGTAATTTATACCTCATACTTACAGCCACCTTTACAATTAATTAAATTCTCATATACCTTTAGTTCTGTCTCTATTTTCTCCATTCTGCTCTTCTAATTTTCTGTACCAATATCATACTATCAACAGCTTTATAGTATAGTTTAACATCTAGTACCCGAATGTTTTATTCATGATTCTGCTTTTCCAAAATCTTGGGTTTTCTGGCACATTTATTCTTCCAGGTTGAACTTTAGAATCAACTTGTAAATTTACCTGTTGAGATCTGTTGGAATTATACTAAATTTATACATTAATTTGGAAAAGAATATTAATAATGATATTAACTTTCTAGGAACATAATGTTTCCATTTACTCAGGTCTATATACTATTATTATATTTTAATAAGTTGAGTATAATCTCTTTTCTTTTTACTTCCACATGTACCTATTTCTCATCACTACAGAAAGTTTTCTAACAATTTTTGAGTAAAAAGATCATTTCTTCATATTTCAATGATAGGACTCTCAGATGATCCTTGAGAACTATTTCAGCTAAAAATTTCCATGACTTTCCATAAACATTCCAAAAAACAACTCTCTGAAAATCATCTAAGCAATGTGTATATACATGTATAAAAGACTGAAAGTATATACGCCAAGATAGTTAACTGGTTTCATCTTGAATACTAACTCTGATCCATCAGAAATGGCTGCCAAGAGTGTTGAGAACATGTAGGCTCAAGAGAAAATACTACCATCATGAATTATGAGGGAGAAAATGGAAAATGGAGACACTGGTGCCAAGGACTTGCCATACATGAGATTCATCAACTTATTAACAGCGGTTATTTCTATAAGTAGAATTACAGGAAGAAGGCCTTCATTTTCAACTTTATATACTTCTATTTGTTATTTTTTAACAAGCATTACTTTCAAAATCAGCACACACAAAAAAATCTTAAATTTGTAAAAAATACTGTAACTTCATAATGAATATTTAAGAGTAGTATATTTCTATTTCATTATCTCCAATATATCTACTTCTCTAAGAATTTCACTGAAAGAAAATTCTTACAATTTAGATTTTAAAAGATGTATTAAAAAAACTTATCTAAAGTATTCTTGAAATATTTCCAATATTTATGTTATAATACTATATTATTAGTCTTTTCTGAAGTCATCAGGAAAGCATGAACAAAAACTAAGAAATTATAGGAAAAAAAGTGATTTCAGCACTTAACACTTACAATTCAATTTCAACCATGCCCTTGGAACAACCTCTCTTCACAAAAAAGCCAACCTAAGAAATAAAAAAGACAAAGTGAGCTGTGTGATGTCATTATTATTGGAGAGATCAAGACTCATTCAATAACTACTCTGTATATCCATTCCCATCACTTTGTAAAGGTACTCTTCCCAGTTTTGGACCCCTCCACTGTTTCTACTCACAAACAATAATAATATTTGTTATCATGTACTGAAGCTTTTATGTGCCAGAGAGCCTCTTACAAAACTTGTAACAAAGCCAGTAAGTGTTACAGAGCAAAGATCTGAACCCAGGTAGTCTGGTTCCAGAGCCTGTGTACTTAGCCACTATACCAAACACATTCTCAGAAAGAAGAGAAAAAGCCAGTGAGAAAACAGGTACTATACAGAATAATCATAAAGAGCTATACCCAATCTCCTTATTACCATTGGAGACTTCTATGGAATTACACAGATTAAATTATTAACAACCACTCCAATATTATTCATCCTGTTATTAATTAGGATATATTGTCATCAAATATTTTTTTATAAAAGAATATGCATAGTAAATACAATTTAAGCACAATTTACATAGTAAGACATATTTGAGTTAGTTTCTATACAAATATGAGCATAAGCATGAAAACACAACATGCCTAAAAAAATCAGATTGGATCTTAAATCAGGCTATAAGTAACACTAAAAAAAAAAAAAAAACAAAAAAACAGTGGAAAATACACCTTGCGAATAATTATCTTTTTAATAGTAGTAATGGCAATGATGACAACTATAACCACAATTAACATTTATTAAGCATTACTAAATGCTACTATGCAAAGTTCTTTGTATATAATTTTCTCATTTAATACTCACAAGCAACCTTATGAGATATATATTATATCCATTTTATAGATGATGAAACTGAGGCCCATAAAGATGGAAAAGAAAGCCTGTTCTTATAACCAGAAAGTACAGCTTAATGATTAAGAGTACAGGCTTTAACATACACTGTCCAGGTTCAAATCTCAATTCAATCATATATAAGTTCTATGACCTTGACCAGGTTACTTAAACTTCTCTGTTCTAGTTTATTCATAAATAGGAAAAACAATGGCATTTTTGTAAGTGTGCTATCTGCTCATTAGCTTATAGCAATTAAAATACTTGCTACCAATCAGAATAAAAAAAAGTCAGGAGGCAGTTCTTATTGTGAAGTATATATATAAATGGTACAGAACATGTCAGTGTTCAATTTTTATAACAGCATTTAAATATAAATACAACATTAAAAATAGTTTTGCTGAGAACATGGGCAGCCTCTAAATAAATCTGTGGATATCCAAAGGTCTGCAGTTTGTCACCTAAGAAACACTGCATTCCACAGCTGCCTTTAAAAGCCCTACCGCTCAAGGATAAGAGATATCTTCTTTATGACAAAAATATATAAAAAGGTTGGTGAAAACTGTTACGGCCCCATCTATTCTTACTGCACAGCCCTTGGAGTACAATCCAGCTGACCATTATACAGAGATAAGGATTTGATAAATGATTTCTAACAATTAAAAAACTATACATTAATATTTATAAATATCTGAGTTGGTCCTTGAAAGTTATCTACGCCAATGCCCTTATCTTTGAAATAAAGAAAAAGTGAGGTCCAGACAACTAAGGTCGCAAGGCTAATTATTAACAGAATGGTATCTTTACCTCATCAATGCCTCCCATATAGCCTTAAAAACACATCCATTTCTGAATAGGTTTATAATCTTCATGGTTATACATCTCAATCTTGTAACACTAGATTAAATTTTAAGCCTGGTTAAGAAACATTATTTTGATATAATTGCAATGTTTTTAATAGTTTTAGAAAAATATAAAGAATCATTTCAAGTTTTAACAATATTTTACAGTGGAGTAACAACTCAACATTCAGACTTTCTTTTTAAAACATGTCTTTATGTGAAATTTATACCAAACAGCATATATAAACATCATCATGTACTGTTTAGAAATAAAACCATTTATCTACCAATTTAAGGAACTGAACATTATCAGTCTAACATTCCTTGTATAACTCACCACGATTGCATTCTTCTCTCCCCTCAACAAATGTAATCTCTAAGATGATTTGTTGATCATCCTTTTGCTTTTCATTAGTTTTGCTATATACATCTCTAAATATTAAAAATATTTTTTGACCATTCTATAAACTCATATTACATGTATTCTTCCAAGATGGTATTTTTCTTAATGTTTTTGAGATTTAACCAATATACTAAAGCAAAGATTTTCACTATCACATAACATGCAATTTTATTTTATACTAGTACTGTAAACAATACCGCTATAAATATTTCCATAAGTTCATCTAGTATAAATGTACAAGAGCTTACTAAGCCTATCCAAGAGTAAAATCTGATTGGGCATATGCACCTACAAATTTACTAGGTAATGCCATATCATTTTCCAAGGAAGCTGCATAAATTTACATTCCCACCAAGAGAGTATCAAAATTCCCAGTGTTCCATAGCCTTGCAAGTATATGGCTCTGGCAAAATTTTTGTAAGCCTAATGGATATACGATGCCAGGGTTAATTTGCATTTCTCTGATCATTAAGAAGTTGAGCATCTTTTCATGTTTATTGACTGTTGAGCTGCCTCTTCTGTGAGACATCTGATCATATCTTTTGCCTATTTTTCTTCTGAGTTGTTATTGTTTTGCTTATTATATATTCTAGATACCAATCTTTTGTTATGTGTTATATACCTTCTCCCAATTTGTGGCTCATCTTTCTTTTTGGTGTTTTTTGATAAACAGAAATTTCTTAATTTTGTTTTGGTTGAATTTATCAATATTTTCCTTTTTGATCTACATATTTAAAAAAATTGTTCTTTAATCTAAAGTCACAAAGATATTTTCCTCTATTACTTATATCTTCCAAAACGTTCTGGTCAATCACACTTAGATCTTCAATCCACCTGGAATTGATTTTTGTAAGGTATGAGGATAGGACACAGTTTCCTTTTTTTCTTATATGAATAACCAACTATCTCAGTACTATTTATTCATTTTTCCCCATTCATATACAATGTCAGTTCTATCATAAATCAAGAGTCTACTAAACATGGCATTGTACCTGGGCTTTTTATTTTGTCGCATCACACTGGTCTATTTTACATTCCTACACCAAACACACATCTTAAATTATTTTAACTTCATATTAAGTCTCAATATCTGGTAGGACAAGTTTTCCTATTTTGTTCTATTTCTTAGGAGTATCTAAGCTATTCTCTGGTCCTTTGTTCTTCCATCTAAATTTTAGAACCAGTTTGTAATTTGCTGTAAACAGTGCTGAATATTTTAACTGGAATGACAATGACTATGCAGATCAATGTGAAGAATGACATTTTTATATTAGGTCTTTCTGCCCATTTATATAGGGTCTCTCTCCATTTAATCAAACTTTAAAGTTTTTAAATAAAATTGTATTAATTTCTGCATATAGGCCTTACATGTAATGTTTATTGCTAACTTGTACTTTTGTTGCTATTGCAAATGGTATCTATTTTTAACTGCATTTTTCTGTTCATTGTTAGTGTACAGATATGCAACTTATTTTGTTATATAATCTTATATCTAGCAATGCTAATAAAATTCTGTATTAATTCATCAGAAGGCTTACCTAGAGCTTCTTTTGTGGTTTTTATGCAGACACTAATCTGACCTGTGAATGAGTTTTCTGACTTTCCAACTTGTATCTTTTCTGTCTCACCTTCCGGTCTACTTAGAACTTCCAGTACAATGTTGAACAGCAGTGATAGTAGGCAACCTTCGCTTATTCCTGACTTTGCTACATTTTCATAGATATCTTTTATGAAATTAAGGAAGATAAGATCCCTTCTATTCTGAATTTGCTAAGAGTTTTAAATCCTAAATTACTGTGGAATTTAATTGAATGCTTTTATCTCAATTGAGATGATCATATAGTTCTCCTTTAAAAGCATGTCAGTTTTTTCTAATGTTCAATCAATCTCTCATTCCTTGAATAAATTCAATTTGGTCATGATGTATTATGCATCTTATGTATTATTAGACACAGGAGGCTAAAGTTTCTATTTTTTGAGATTTTTGCTTTTATATTCATCAGTGAGACTGGCTTGTAATTTTCTCATTCTTTCCTTAATTGATTTTGGTACCCAGAGTCATATTTTCTATGTAAAATAGTAAACTACTGCTGTTTGAACTAAGCCGTAATTATTTGGTGTTCTGAGAAAAATTAAACAGTTGACTTATTTTTTCTAGTTATCGAGTCAATTTTGATAATTTATATAATTGCAGAAGCCTGTATATTCCCTTTAAAAATTTTTAAATCTATTAGCATAAAGTTATAGTCTCTTATAGTCTTTTAAATTTCTGCTGCATCCTGGTAATGCCCCGGTGGCAGTCATCAGGGCACTTAATGAATATCCTGGTTCTCCTTCATGCCCACAGCAGTACTGCTTTTGCTCATTTTCTCTGATGCAAGGCGTGGCAATAAAATGTGAGAAGAAAAAACATATGTCACTTTTCTGTCAGAAATTTTAACAGCCAATTCCCTTCCTAAATGTGTATTAAAATACAGACTCCATCAACTTAGGTACCTAAGTGACCACAAAGGGCCTACACTGGATAAATAACAAAAATTAACTCTTTTGTATTTTAAACCACTTAAATTTGGGGGTTGTCTGGACTACAATATAACATATCTTAACTATTACTTTTTTTCATTCTTTCATTTTTTTCTTCTTTATCTCCCCCTTATCTTCTCGAAAGTTACTAATTTCATTAGCCTTTTTTTAAAGCATTTTTTAGTTTTGTAGTGCCTATTATATCATTGTTAATTATTTTATTAATTCCTCCCTTATTTTTCAATTTCCATTAAGATTTCTTCTTTGACCTGTGTATAATACAGAAGTACATTTTTTATCCTGAACAAATAGGAAAATTTTAGTTACCTTTTTGTTATTTCTCCCTTATCAGCATTGTGATCAGAGAATATAGTCTGTATGGTACCAATTCTTTGATATTTTTGATATTTGCTTTATGGCTCAGTAAATGGTTTTTAGAAACGTTCCATTTGTGCTCAAAAAGAATGTTTGCTCTCCAATCGTTGTGTTTATAACATGTCCATTAGTTCAAGCTTAACTTGTTCAAATCTTCTGTACATGAATACCTTGTTTTATTACACTTCACAGATATTGCGTTTTTTAAAAATTGAAGGTTTGTGGAAACCCTGCATTGAGCAAGTCTATCAGTGCCAAAAAGATTATGACTCACTAAAGGCTCATATGACAGCTTTTTTAGCAATAAAGCATTTTTAAATTAAGGTATGTTCATTGTTCTTCAGACATAATGCTATTGCACACTTAACAGACTACTGTATAGTATAAGCATAACTTTTAATATGCACTGGGAAACCAACACTTTAGTGTGACTCCTTTTATTGTGATATTCGCTTTACTGTTGTGGTTTGGAACTAAACCTATAGTATCTGAGGTATGCCTGTATTCTAACTAATTCTTTATCTGATTGATCTATTGATTACTAATAGCTCTTCCACTATGATTATGCATCTGTTAACTTCTTGTTAAAAGTTCTGTTTTTGCTTATATGTTCTGGAGCTAGATCATGTGAATTCGAGTTGAGAACTGTATTTTCTTGCTGAACTGAACTTTTCATCAATATTTAATAACCTTTTTTATCTCTAAAAGTATTTTTGCTTTACAGTCTATTTTGTCTGGTATTTAATTCAGCCACACCTATTTTCTTTTGTATATTTGCCTGGTATGTATTTTTTTATCCTTTTTTCTATAGGTTTTTATTTTAGATATTCTTATTTTAAACAGAATGGAACTGAACTTTGTTTTATTTATCTAACAGACTTCCTAAGAATTTAGACCATCTGTATTATTGTAATTATATTTGCATATATTTCTATCTTTTCATTTTATGTTTTTTAATGATTTCATTTTCTATATCTATTTCTTTTCTCATCTTCTTTTCTCAAGGCTTCTCTGAGCTGTCTGGGCAGTGGTTTTTTCCTTCCTTTCTCTTATTCTTTTTTACCTTTCTGGTTTGGAGGATTTATGGATTTCAATTGTTTTAGTTTACCTTAGAAATTTAACATGAATATTTAAATAAACTCTGAAGTTAATCGATTATTTTAACTTCCTCCCAACAATACAAATCCATAGAATACTTTAACTCTGATCACTTCCTTCCAGTTGGCCAGGAAGGACAATAGTTAGTTCTATCTGATTTAAACTTCACAAAGTAGATATTAGTGTTATTTTATAGTTTGCATATAACTTTCCTTGATGTTTATCATTTCTTTGCTCAGACTTTCATTCTGGGATCATTTTCCTTCTTCCTAAATTGTTTACTTTCAAAGTTCCTTTAGTGAGGAAGTTTATTTTTTTCTCTTTGTCTCACTATTCTGACAACATATTACTAATGTGTTTAGTCTTCTCTAATTCCCTAGAATGTGTCTATTTGTGTAATTCATTTATACTGCTCTTTAAATCTGAGAATACAAAATTTTCAACATTTCTGGAAAACTCTTAGTCATTCTTTCTTCAAATATTGCCTCTTCCTTAGTTTATTATCCCCCACTGGAGAAACTTTAAAAACTGGATTATCTTCTTTTACTTACCTATCATGTCTCAACTTCAATTTTATTTTCTCTCTATCTCTTATTGCATTTAAGAAAAATCTTAGTGTTTTAGTTTACAAATTCTCAAATGTGTCTGCTTAGTTTTACCTGTCCATCAAGTTTCTCTCTTCAAGTAATACATTTTTATTTAAGTTCTATTTGATTCTTTTTTTTAACCTGATCTTTTTGTTACTCATTCCTATTATTACACTTGCAACCTTCTTTTATTTCCTTACACTAATTAAATATTCCTAGTTTATCTCTACCTACAGGCTTCATAGGTCTGATTGTGCACTCTGCTGATTTTGTTAGCTCCTATCTTTGGTGATTCATTTTCTCTCATGTTTTGTGATTTTTTAGTTATGAATTCACAAATTTCTTGGGACTTTATGTTTAGATTCTTTTGAGGACTGATCTGAAGATATTTTCCTTAAGAGGACTGCATTTGCTTCTGCCAGTGCCTGGAGATATTACTAACTAGGACTACTTTAAACTAAAATTATAATTTATGATATTTAGGCCACACAAGGTAATATGAATTCTGACCCCGAACATGTGCTAGGGTTGTGGTTAAGACTTCTTTGGAAGATTTTTTTTTCTTCCAATGTATTCAGAGCTAATAATGAGATAAGTAAGTAATCCTTTGGTCCCATTCTGAGGTGTTTTTTCTGCTACACACAATGTTTGGCTTCTAGTTTTATCTTCTAGCCCTTCCCCCACCTGCAAGACTCTCAATCCTGTGAGACCAATTCAAAGCCAGGCTTCAGGGTGCAAGGTCAGCAAATGCCCCTAGGGAAGAAACTCCAGAGCTTGCTTAAATCTTCAGACCCACACTCTGTTTCTGCCCCTGGTAAATTTATTTCACCTTTCCACAAGCCCCACAATTTATTTCTAAAAAACCTTTCAAAAGTTTTTAACATACAAAAATTTCAAGTGTTATGTACTTGGAGAATTTCCTCGGTATGTATATAGCCCAAAATATTTCTAGAAATGGAAATCTCCTCTCAGCTTCTCTACCTGCCAACTTTATTCTTTATATTTAAGCACTACACATTTGCTATACCCAAAGAACTGAGATGTAGAAATTGATTTGTTAGTAAAAGCAAGTCATCACTTTAAATTTTTTTTAAAAGTACAAGTACTTATATTAACTCACCTTATCTGCCCGTCCCATGAAAGCAGGTTTGCCTGCTAATCCAAGGCAAATGGCACACACAATGCTGGACTTCCCTGTTCCATTAGCTCCAATAATCATATTCAAGTGGGGTCCAGGACATACTTCACAGATATCATATGTTCTGAATTACAAAGACGTGAAATTACTAAACAGAGAAGAAGTAAAGAATATTTTCTTTCCAAAAGCACTTGTTTTAAATTATCATTATTTATAGGCTTCTTCAAATTCCTTTAAAAGCTAGCTAATCTTACAAATTTAATGTTATTTATAGGTTGTTAATAAACTAAAGGGAAATATCTATCAATGAATATATCATTTTTAACTGTAAGTGTTAAATAAAGCAAAGTTTGATATTTTTTAACAATTTTATGAGAATATATCAAAGCTACTATACAAATAAAATAATTTTTAAAATTTTATTTAAGAGAAACCACGACTCATCTTAAATCTGCAGATTTTACGTTTAATTTCTCTTGAATTAAAATGCTTAACAGCGACTTCTCATATTCCAATATTCAAAACAATCCGATCAAATTATTTTTATTCTAATTAGAAAACAAAATATATATCAACCCAATTGTTTCATTTTATTATTTTTTTTTTTAATTTCATCCATTTCCTTTAACATGCTGTCAGAGATTCACCAAAGAATGCATTGTCAGTCCATGTTCAAATAAATTTTATTCCTATGGGAAGAAACATGAATGCATCGACGCCAAGTATTTCTGTACTATTCCCTTGTGCCAGAAAGCTGCACGCTATCCAGCACTCTACCTACAACAGTTGCATGTAATCCTTATTGGTTGCCAGGGACAGCTAGCTATGGCAAAATGTGAAGCAAACCCTGACTCGGATATTCTTCTACCTTGTCTTTGAATGCCCTGAATTAAAACCCATAAATTATGTCTTGTTCTCATTGGGTTTTAGTTAGCTGCCAACTAATTCCCCAAGAAGAAACGTCTTACCTGCTACTAACCTGCTAAATACATAACATTTCAACTTTAATATTCAAAGAAATTAATAATTTTGAAATGCCAGGTGGTAATGAAAATAAAAACGGGTGGTAAAGGAGTATTTTCTAGCAGGTTTACAAACCCTCATCTCTACACAGTATCTATTTTATCTTTTTAGATACTTTGTTCTGTTAGCATGAACTCTTTATTTATAAAGTTAAAATAAAACTGGTTTGGGAACTTCAGACACCTGGAAAATTATCTGACTTGGAACTTCTTAATCCCAACACAGGAAGCCCCATTCTTTTAACACTTGAATTTCCTGCTGTGAAATCTCTGCGCAACTGTCTTACTAAAATAGTGATGCAACTGGTATTTAAGAAAACAATAAAAACAACAGAAAAAAGGATGAGAATCTCTGGCCTATATAACATATATTTGTAAACAAGAAAAGTTGCCAACAACAACAAAAAAACCTTTGTCTTTAAAAAAATTAACTGTTCTGATTCTACAATATTTTGGGGAATTCCCTTTTTATAAGTTCCCTTTTCTCTGAACTCCCCCTGAAAGAGCTATTGTCAAAGGCCCACCCTCTTCTAAGCCTATACACTTTGCCTGGTATCTCATATATTCTCCATGGTCTCAGGTAGCATCTATGTGCTGAAAATCAGCCAAAATGACTTACAGATGCAATCACCACACTTCAATAACTTTATTTGGATGTCCCACAGCAGTCACCTCAAACTTAACATGTTCAAAACAAAACCCACCATCTTCCCCGTCCAAAACCACTCTTGTGGTCTCTTAGGTGAATGGTATCATCATTCATCCCACTGCCCATGTTAGAAACCCAGGCATTAGTTTTGAATCATCTTTGATTCTACCATCTCCTTCACCTCTACCCACAACCTCCCTACATCATTCAATCAGTTCCCAAATCATGTTGGTAGACATACAAATCTGATATCGCCAGTTCTCTTAAATACATTTTATACCTGCATTAAAAAAAAAAAAAAAAAAAATTGGATCCTTCATAATTTAGTTCTGGCTTCACCTTTTTCTACTTTCTATCTCCTTCCTCTATGCTCTAATTAGACTTCTAAATTCTACCTACAATGAATTTCTTTCAATTTCTGGACTATTTTAGTCTTCCTTCTTTCTCCAAGCCTTTGCACATGCTGTTCCTTCTGCCAAGAAATATCTCCCTCCAGTCCCAACTTTATTTGACTTGGTTTACTCATAGGAATCCTTCTTTGACCACTCTCTTTCAGGCCATTTCGGTTCTCTAGGCCTACCCTCTTACTTCATTCTTAAAAGTCCTCTTACTGTGAAAATAAAACCTCACCTAGCTATGTGCTTTCCAGCAACCTTTTTTCTCCTCTTCACATCCAAGTTTACTCCTTCATACTCATTCATTCTTTTACAACTTGCACAGTTTACTTCTTTCACTGTTTCAATAAAAGAGCCAAAGATTTCCTAATGCTAAAATGCAGTGGGCTCTTTTCAGTCTTGTTATCTGACTTCAATGTAGCAGATATTTTTGAAATGCTCTTTTTCCTTGGCTTCTTTGATAATATTCTCCCACGGTTCTCCTCTTACCTCCCTGAACAGTTCCTTCTCAGTCTGTGAATTCCTCTTCAGCTAACCCTTAAATGTTGGCATTCCTCCAGGACTCTACACTTGGCCATCTATTCCTATTTGTATTTCCTTTAAAGGCAATCTCGATCATTTCTTTAACTTCAACAATCACCTATATGTATGATTCTCAAATCTCTCACCTGTCCACATTTTCCTGTAAGCTCCAAACACTTGTAAATACTGCCTACTGAAGAGCTCTTTCAGATGCCCCAAAGGAAACTTCAAGTAAGAGGATGCAAAAGGCAATTATTATTATCCTTCCCAAATTGCTCCCTCTTCTGACTAGCACCATATCTGACCAACTAACTGGTCAATGGTGCACTCCTCTCTTACCCTCGTGCTTCACAATTAATATGTAGCCAGATCCTGTCAAATGTTTTCTTTACATTCTTACTCACCACTGCTACTCCTAGGTTCAAACCCTGATCATCACCTGCCTTCATATCATAAAAGTCTTCTGGCACTCTTTTGAAATTATCCTTTACACTGCTTCCATAGTAATATAAGTCACATGCCATTCCCTACTTAATATGCATCCTGGTTGCTTATAGAATTAAGTTGGAATTCCTTAGTATAGTAAACACAGACCCTCAACAGTTGCCTACCTCTTCAGTATCACCTAGGCCCACATATTCACTCACATCCTATGTTCTTTCCTATTAAAATACTTGATGCTTCCTAAATATAACTAACTGTTGCAGGCAGGTCCTTCTGTCTACAGTGCCTTCTCTTTCTTGTAGGACTTCTAAAACCTCCATATAAAGCCCTTTCTCACAGTTGTGGAAGATATTAACCCCTTATCCTTTGTAACCCCATGGCACCCTTATATATACAATATTACAGTAGATAACTCATTTGATGATCTTTCCTGATCTGTATTCCCATAGTAATTCAGCTACTTATTAGCAGTGTAAACATGGGCAAATTAACCTCTGAGCTTATCTGATGAATGGAGATAATATAAAGAGTTGTTATGAGGAAAGAATAAGAGCATTGTATAAATAAAATACCTACTTCTATACCTGGCACATGACAGGTGCTTGGAAAAAAAAAAAAAATTGACACTGTTATTGCCATTCGTACCCCTCCGACACTATACGCAAGCTTTAAAAAAACAAACAAAAAACGTTGACTAAATAACTGTAAGGTGCTATCCTAACACGGTATTTGTGTTAAAATATATTACTAAATTTTAAAATGATTTTTATGATTATTAGTTGACTGAAAAGGAGAGAAAGGAACCAGGGAAGATGGATTTGTAGGGGTCAAGGGTCTGTTGGGAGGCCCAACAACTAAGAGTAAGGATTAATTTTCTTATACATTTCAACCTCCATCCTGTACAACCTTCACCATCTTTAACCACCTGGTAACTGCCTACGCTTTACAAATCTGCCACATCATCACTACCACTCTGATTTAAATGTTGCTTCCGATAAGCCCCCAGGGCCCATAGTTTTGTTAATTACAGATTATGTCCTCCCTCTATAAACTATGACTTTCAGTAGGCAGATATCTAATCCCTACTACATTCACTACCCGCCAAATGACGCCTTCGAAAAACGCTGGTGGAATTTAAAAAAAAAAAAAAAAACGCATCACACAAGACACACACCTAGCACATCAACATAAACAGCAATCTCCACAGCCTCGGTAACCCCGGCACAAATTCAAGGCCAGACCCGCAAGCCAGACACACGTATCCACCCACCCACACGCACGCACTCGGCGTGCGCCCCCGGCCCGCGGGCCCACTCGCCTCCCCCGCCGCCGCCGCCTCACGGCCTCCGGCCACTCACAGAAAGTTCTCCATCGCGATGCGGACGATAGAGCCTTCCACGAAAGGCCCAGACGACGGCAGTGGCGGCGCTGGCGGGGCCGAGGTCCTTCTCTTGCTCGGGACCTCCGACGAGGGATCTCTCGGGGGGGGTCTCTTGGAGGGCAGGGGGGTTGGGGTCGAGGTCTTCCTGCTCGGAGTCGCCATCCTGGGCTTCCTCTCCGCCCCGCAGCGGCTTCCGTTCCCACCGACCCAAGTCCCGACACCCCTTCGTCCCGCTCCCGCGCGAACTGCCCGGCGCGCGACACCGCCCGAGAGTCCGCCCCGCGCCTGCGTAGTCCCGGCCCGCC